TGCCGACATGGTCTATAAGTCATGAAGACTATCGGGGCTAGAGGTATGATCGCGTCTACCAGGTATTAAATGTGAAGCTGACACATTATCAGTGGGAGAGGCTCGAGACTAAAGTTGTCCTCTAACTTCGCCGAGAAGTAATGCCTTTCGAGTCGACCTTATGAGGCGTTGAATAGCTGGTCGACTGGACTCATTGTGAGTCGTCTTCGACAAGCGGGTTGACTAGTACCACCCTTCGAGTCGACATGAGGAAACGTCAACAAGACGAGTCGGCTAGGTTGGAATCTCTGTTGGTCTTGGCCAATTTGATTGGGGCATTGCATGTAGAAGTACACCCGTTCGTTGTTGAGAAAGAGTTGCACGTAGGTGATTGAGAACACCATAACAATATATTATTGTATAATTATAGTATATTACCACTACTGAAATATTAAAATTTATTCGATATAAAAGAATATTATCCTTATTAATGAAAATTGATGACATCCATCAAATGTTTCATAAGATTATGGCATATGTCTTTATATAACATTTAATTTAGCATTAATCAATATTAATTTAGCATACGTCTTTACATACCATGTAGTAACAACATGTGCCTTTTTTAGTCTCATGCCTAAATATATTCATGTATAGCATTAATCATAAAAGAGACCTTTTGAGAACCACATTTAGTCTCTTTATCAATAATAAGGCCTCTTCGTCTCTTACAACTATCAAACTCATTAATCCATAAATGTCTTACCTCATGCCTTACTTTCCATCTTAAAAATCTCTTTACTTTCAAAAGTGAAACTCCAAACAGCTTCTTTTTTCTTGCAAAAGCTAGCATTTGAGCTTCTCCATAGCTCTCGCACGATCTTCCTTCAACAAATCTGAGTTTTCCCAGCCCTGCATATTGACAAACATCAAGGATAGTGTATGCTTTGTGTAGTGCTAAAAGATGATGCTACAATGCCGATCGTGCTTTCGCGATATCATCTTCCTCATTATCACCAGCGAGTCGCACCTTAGCCTCTATTGTTATAGGATTGTTTGGGCTATCACGCACCAGTGCACCATCAATGCTCGACTCTATAAGATTTATAGCTAAAGACGACGACGTTCTTTATGGGTTTTACGTCATTCTTTGTGAGTTTTATGGTGCCAAGATATGGAGCCATAGGCTGTTGCTCTGCCTGCGAATGCTACTACTGCTACGATAATTGAAAAATTATTATTGATTTTATGTAGTTGTTTGTTCTATAGGATATACACAATATTAGTGGAGTGTTATTTAATAGAGATGACCTTAATTTTATTGGTAGTTTTCTACTAAAGAGTAACTTGTTTTCCTTATCACCTCGCTAGAAGTCGACTAAGACAATAATTTTGTAGCCAAAAAAATCACTAAATTTCTTATAAGTAAAGAAATACCAAATTATTTCTACAAGTACAATTATTATTTCTTTTAATAAAACATTGTGCATCATATGTGTTCATTTGTTGAATTAATAAGATCTTAATGAAACATATAAGTTCATCAGCATGGACTCATTAAAACATTAAAAATTTTAAATAACACCAATATCATAGATTTTCTAACACGTGACATCCTACATTATCTATACTACTTATAAAGGAAAATTAGGATGTTAAACTTTTGATATTCTCCTTTATCCTCTTAAATTTTGATAACTACTATACTTAATCTAAATCTAATTCCCATATGGTTTCATAGAGTTTGATTGTTTGATTATTTGCTAGAATTCTTTATTTATATGCATTGATTCTTCATACGAGAATTTGTAAAGATATTATAGATACAACAACATTATAATACAAAGTTTTCATGCATGCACTGCTTGCACATGGAAATAATAGGAAGTACCCTAAAAAGTATTATAGTTGTAATACTTATTATATAGGTATTATAACATTTTATTTTTATAATATTATTTATATAATATTTATATTTGTAATATTTGTAATACTTATTAAACAAATATTATAATATTTTATTTTTTATAATATATTATGATTATATATATATTTATATTTATATTGGTAATAATAATATATTACAATAATGTATTATCATATAAAATTATATATATTGTTAAGAATTGGGGATCTAATAGCAACTTCAGTGATTTGTGGGACTAATATCAAAATACGATAGATTCAAGAGATTGATATGAGAAACCCCCCACTATTATATGGTTATATAAAATTCAAATATACTTGGCTTAATTTTTTTGAGAAATATTAAGAAAATATCCCAACCCAAAGTTTATTATAATTATTTATTAATAAGATGGAATCTCAAGGTTCATACTCCGCTCCTCCTTATTTTTGTTTTTTGTTTCTAGAGGCCTTGCAAATGCTTAGATCATGCCCTTGTTTCCGGCATAAGGAGCATAACATCAGGCAAATTTTAGAAGACTCCACTTTCTTCCTAAACCTCTTCGCACCCAGACCCTATTTCCATTTATATTGTTTTAGAAGATAAAGAATAGATGACAAAAGATTTACAATTTCAAACCATCGAAAGAATATTAAGAGATATTTTGAATGATCAAAGACTTTTCAGTAGAACGATAGTTCATTAGAGGAGATTTTTATCAAGTCCTATTTGTAACTACCTGTGCTAAAGAACAAAAGTAATCAGCAAAAGTCTTATGAAATCATATCTTTTGGGGAAAATGAAAAATTTTCTCTTAATCTTTATATGAATATGCTTGCATTGAAATCTCTTAGAGAGTTCTGGCTTAGAGTATTTATGAAGAAGAGCCTATAATATATGAGATTTTCATACATATACCAAACGAAAATGTTCATGTGGCAATAAGAATAGCTGTGAAAAAATTAATTGATACTATCTTCGATCATAAAAAGCAAATTCTAAAAGAAAAGAAGTTACTTACATATTTTCAACCTTTTGCATAAGCACACACTTTCCGCCTTGATACTCAATCATATGTCAAACATTTGTACTTGAAATAGTTTGAACCAAAATATTATCTAAAATTATTATGCTTATAAATTAGAAATAATTATTAATTATTATATTCATTTTTTCTATGATTTTGTTCTCTTTTTCCATGTTATCGGTATAAAAATTCGTTTATAGTTAAATTTAAAACATAAAACAATCGTGTCTGTATGAATAATTATAACACACATCACGTGCAACGCAGTTATTGTATAGTAGTAAAATTAAAAGCAAATAGTTGTCCATCATTATGATGCATCAATCATATACTGTATGTAGAATATTGTAATTACTGTTGAACGGGTCGAATCCGGATCCATATTCAGATCAGGCTTAGATCCAAACCTTTGACGGGAGTCAACAATTTTGGATCGGATATTTTCGGATTATCAGACCCAAATACGTCGCAGAGGACGACGAATTCCGGTATCTGCGATCAATGTTCCCTCCCCAAAGCCCTAATTCAACGCAATCGTGGTAAATTCCTAGCATTTTCATCCTTAATTTCGTTTATTTTTTCAAGATTTTTGCCTCAATTTGTAGTCCTTGTTTCTCGAATTGTCGACATTGAGGCAATGCAATTCTGGTACGATCAGAAAATTAATAATTTAATAAGCATCCTAATGTTTTATGATTTCAACGGAAACCCTTGTTTTTATTTAGAATTTACAAGGGAATGTGCTATCACCATTGTCCTGTAATCATTTTTTGCACAAAGTAAGTAGGGTACAAAATCTTGACCTAATTCTAACCAAATGAAGCTCAATTCAAGCAAGCAGTGTCAAAA